CGGCTCGCCCGGCGGCGCCGCCTCGCGCTGGAAATGGCTCTCGCGCACCGACTGCCCGCTGCCCATCGCCCTCCCTGGTGTACTTACTACATCGTACATCGCTAACTACATTCTATGATACGGCCATATTTAATGGCCGGATGATCTTAAACAAGTTTTGACATAACATCCAAAATACCACAGTGTTGAATGTTATGTCAAAACTTGTCACAGCTAACGTGGGTTATAGCACTTTTGAGTCTCTTAGAATTCCAATTTAAATATCACGTTGATGATCTACGGTTTTCATTTTTGCACGGGCTGTGACATCTCTCTGAGAACTCGTGACTATGCGATTTTAATAAGTTGGATCTAAATGTAATGTTAAAAAAAGTTTTATTGATACAAAAAAAACAATGTAACACTAAGAGCAGTGGGAAACAAGAAAAAGAAATGTGGTATCGGTGCCGGAGTTCGTTAAAGGTTAAGCTAACTAGATATTTAAGTTTTATATTTTTTACAAAACAACGTGTGGCTCTACACGAAACCAAAACTAAGCGAATGATATCGATGAGTGGAGTAATATAGTGAAGTCGATGTCTGCCGGCGCTGCGAGGCGCTACAGGGGCACGACAGTGGTGCAGATAGATCCGCTATACTCGTATTTATAAAGCCAGCCGCCGGCTCGTCTTCCCGTATCATATTCAAAGTCAGCATCGGTTGCACTTCCGCGCCGCTTGTGCTCCAGTACCGCGGACAGATCGCAAATCGCATTTTATTGCCTTTAACCTTCTTCACTTTTGGATAGAATTATAAAAATCGTCCCTAATTTAGGAATGTCTTTTTATTACGTTTATTAAAAACACGAATAGAGAGAATTCTATTAAATGTAAATGGCCGAACCGATAGAATCAAATTGATAGCCGATACACATTCTAAATTATACAAATAAGCAATGTTTTTAAATTAAATTGAATAATAAATTAAACTTAACTGCCAATGTTTTATATTTGATTGAGAATCGGATTTTATAACTGTTAAATACATAAAATTTTAATATATTTAAAAATATTATTTATGGGATCAGTTACATATATTGTATGACACGATTAAAGTGTTCATTTTTATGAGGTAAATGAATCATATGTGTTCGTTTCGTCGATACATCTCTGCAGCAAAGGACGAGTACAAGTACGAAGCTTTCAGATTACACGAAAGTCGTGATGCATTTGTGAGGTGAGGCATTGTGCGACAGACGACAGGTGTCAGGCGACAGGCGACAGGCCGGACCTGGACGGATGAGTCAGCTCGCCGAGATCTGGCCATCAGACATAAATTGGATAGAATTTTGTTTTAACTAAGGCTATGCTCCGTGTCACAGGTGACTTTGAATCAACGAATGAAAAACACAACGATATCTGAATGAGATTGTTTAAAGATAACGATCTTATGTGTTTTTTGACCGACTTCCCAAAAGAAGGAGGTATTCAATTCGTCGGTATATTTATTTTATTTTTTTTATTTTTTTTTTTTATGTGTGTTACGGCATAACTCCGCCGCTAGTGGACCGATTTGGATAATTCATTTTTTATCCGAAAGGTAA